AGGAGGCATTTGGCTTTCTTTTGCAGGGGGAGCTGTATAACATGCACAGTATCTGAGTAAATATACAGGACATATATTTATGTATGTACTTGGTTCTGTTTGGAGAGGTCCTTTCCATCTCATGTCTCTCACTGGTGGTTGCACGTTCACGTATGTAGTACGTACCTACCTACATACATCCTTTTCAGTATGTTTAATAGTTTAGGTTAAAACATGATCATGAAAGACAAGGTTTTGAAGTTTAAAATCTAAATGAAAACCTAAGAGGGGTCTGTTAACTGGCTGTGCCATCTGAATCCTGTCATAACTGCTTTACGTATTCAGGTCGTCTGTTGGTGTCTTCCAGAGCACGGTACCTTCTGCTCGCAGCTGCTGGATGGCTTCTGAGCAGGTCCTCATGAACAGCTGAGCATCCTGATCTATCTGGTCCCGCTCCGTGTCTGTCATCCTCCCATATTCAGACATGATATGGCTGGAAAAAAGGAGAGAAAGAATGAAGGGCAGTGGCAAATGGCACCACAGTGTGGTCTGGGGGGGGCACAATGGGAGGAGAAGCTGGCCAGGCTAAGAGGTGGCAACAATCTAGACGTGGCCCAAGTGCATATGAAGGCTGTGAGGGACAGAAGCCTGCTGTACAGACCACATGGTGGGGGCCACCTAGCGAGGTGTGGATGGAGAGGCAGCAGGGCTTGGAACAGGACAGCCTTCTGTGTAAGGAGGCTGTGATGGCAGGGGTTGAGTGTCAACTTGGCTGGACCACAATTCTGAGTGGTTTAAGAAGCAGTTGTGCTGTGGTTATTCCCATGATGAGATTGGATGTGTATGGTTTGAGCAGCCTTTTGAGTTGAAAAGGAGTTTCCTGAGGGGGGGGTGGCCTGTTTCCAGTATATAAATGGACACCCTGAGAAAATTCAGAAATCTTCTGTGGATCACAATCCTGTTGTGCTGCCTAAAACTATCCTGTGAGCAAACAATCCACCATTCTGCCTGGTGATCCTGGATTCATCATCGCTGAAGTCAACAGCCTGTTATACTGCCTGCCAACCTTGAGCTCATCAGCCTCTACAAATGCAAGAGTTGGGAGACCCTCCAGCTTGACGCTAGATCCAGGAACTTGAGACTTATCAGCCCCTGTAACTGTGTGGGCCATTTTCCTAACACAAATTTCTCTTTCTTCCTCTCTATAAGCTTTACTGGTTTTACTTCTCTAGGGAACCTAGCCTAACAAAACTGGTACCGAGAAAGTGGGGTGCTGCTCTGACAGATACTTAAAATATAGAAATAGGAGACGAGGGCATCCTTGATGAAAGACATTGGTAGAGAGATCCCAGCAGAGACAGCAGCAGCACAGCTGAGAGACTGCCATTAGACAGGTGTTCCTCCTGCAGCACTCACTACCTCTCCGCTGGGTTTGATAATTCACTGCAGTGGCCACCCAGAACTCACAGAGTATGGGGTTTATTAGGGAAGCAACAGGCTACAATTCAAGCTCAGGAACGTGCTCAGTCTCTCAGCTGGCCATCTCCCTCAGCAGCCGGCCATCTTTCTCAGTGTCTTTCAGAAGCACGTCTCTCTCTCGGCAGTGCACATCTCTCTCTCAGCAACACATCTCTCACATCCCTCTCTCAGCAGCATGCCTCTTTCAGCAGCGTGTTTCTCTCAGCTGGCAGTCAGAGAGACACTCCTTCTCTCTGCCTCTAGGAGGGCTCACTTTAAGCCTGACAGAGTGGCAAAACCAACCAATCTCAATACCAGAATTCCACACACCTGAGAGATAGTGAACTTCCCAGAAAATTGCTCTGTGCTGCTTTCAACAGAAATACCCCAGGTGGATAACTTTAACAATCAGGAGCTACTTAGTTGCTCATGGCAAATTATGCCACAGAGTTTACAAAGACCATGCCTACAAAGTCATACTATGTAATTTGGAACAGCTAATGGAGATAAACTTGTCTGTCAGTTTGTGTACCATGGTGGCTTGAGTGCTGCTTTGAGGCCAGGGGCTATGCCACTGGTGTTTCAAATGCCAGCAGGATTACCCATGGTGGACAGGTTCTAGTGGAGCTTCCAGACTAAAACAGACTTGGAAGAAGGAAGAGGCCATCCACTGCACAAAGAATTGGCTGGTGAAAACCTTATGAACAGCAGTGAAACACCATCTGATATATTACTGGAAAACTTTATGAATAGCCCTAAAACATTGTCAAATATAGTGCCAGAAGATGAGCCCCTCAGGTCAAAGGGCACTCAAGATATGATGGGAAAAGACCTGCCATCTCAGAGTAGAGTCAACCTTAATTATGTGAATAGAGTAAAGCTCTCGGGACCCCCATTTACTGATGTGGCAAGTCAAAAGATAAGAAGAAACATCTGCAAACATCCATTAATAATCAGAACATGGAATGTATGAAGTATGAATCTAGGAAAACTTGAAGTTCTCAAAAATGAAATGGAACACATAAAGACCGAGATATCCTAGGCATTACTGAGCTGAAACGAACTGGCTTTGGCCATTCTGAATCAGATGATTGTATGATATACTATGCTGGGAATGACAAACTGAAGAATGGCATGGAATTCATCATTAAAAAAAAGTGTATCAAGACCTATCCTGAAGTAAAATGCTGTCAGTGATAGGATAATATCCATTTGCTTAAAAGAAGACCCATTAATACTACTATTATTCAAACTTACACACCAACCACCAAAGCCGAAGATGATTTTTACCAACTTTCACAGTCTGAAACTGACCAAACATGCAATCAAGATGTGTTGATTATCACTGATGAGTGGAATGCAAAAGTTGGAAACAAAGAATCACCACCAATAGTTGGAAAATTTGGCCTTGGTAATAGAAATAATGCTGGAGGTTGCATGATAGAATTTTGCAAGACCAACGATTTATTCATTGCAAATATCTTTTTTTTCAATAACACAAATGGAGGCTATGCATGTGGACTTCACAAGATGGTGTGCACAGGCATCAGAGTGACTACATCTGTGGCAAGAGGCAATGGAGAACCTCACTATCTTCAGCCAAAACAAGGCCAGAAGCTGATTGTGGAACAGACCATCAACTGTTCATATGCAAGTTCAACTGGAAGATGAAGACAATTAAAAGAAGTCCATGAGAGCCAAAATATGATCTTGATTACATCCCTTCTGAATTTAGAGACCACCTAAAGAATAGATTTGATGCACTGAACAGCAATGACCAAAAACTAGAGGAATTGTGAGATGACATCAAGAACATCATCCATGAAAAAAACAAAAGGTGATTAAAAAGACAGGAAAGGAAGAAAAGACCAAAATGGATGTCAGAAGAGACTCTGAAAACTGCCTTTTAATAGAGAGTAGCTAAAGCAAATGGAAGAATTGACAGGATAAAAGAGTTGGACAGAAGATTTCAAAGAGCAGCTTGAGAAGACAAAGGCAATTATTATAATGAAATGTAAAAAGACCTGGAGTTAGAAACTAAAAGGGAAGAATGTGCTCAGCATTTCTCAAGTTGAAAGAACTGAGGAAAAAACTGAAGCCTCGAGTTGCAATACTGAAAGATTTCATGGGCAAAATATTGAATGATGCAGGAAGCATCAAAAGAAGATGGAAGGAATACACAGAGTCACTGGACCAAAAAGAACTGGTCAATCTTCATCCATTTCAGGAGGTGGCATATGATCAAGAACCAATGATATTAAAGGAAGAAGTCAAAGCTGCACTGAAGGAATTAGTGAAAAACAAAACTCCAGGAATTGATAGACTACCCATCAAAATGTTTCAACAAATGGATGCTGCACTGGAGGCACTCACTCGGCTATGCCATGAGATTTGGAAGACAGCTACCTGGCCAACTGACCAGAAGAGATCCATGTTTGTACCCATTCCAAAGAAAGATGATCCCACAGAATGTGGAAATTATCAAACAATATCCCTGATATTGCACACAAGTAAAATTTTACTGAAGATAATTCAAAAGTGGTTGCAGCAGTATATTGACAGAGAACTTTCAGAAATGCAAGCTGGATTCAGAAGAGGACATGGAGCAAGGGATATCATAGCTGATGTCAGATGGACCTTGGCTCAAAGCAAAGAATACCAGAAAGATGTTTACATGTGTTTTATTGACTATGCAAAGGCATTTGATTGTGTGGATAATAAATTGTGGATAATACTGAGAAGAATGGGAATTCCAGAACATTTGATTGTACTCATGAGGAACCCATACCAGGAAACTGTCGTTCAAACAGAACCAGGGAACACTGCATGGGTTCAAAATCAGGAAGGGAGTGTGTCAGGGTTGTATCTTTTCACCATACCTATGCTGAGAAAATAATCTGAGATGCTGGACTACATGAAGAAGAACATGGCATCAGGATTGGAGGAAGGCTAATTAACAACCAGAGATATGCAGATGACACAACTTACTTGCTGAAAGTGACGATGACTTGGAGCACTTACTGATGAAGATTAAAGACTACGATCTACAGTATGGATTACAGCTCAATATAAAGAAAACAAAACTCACAACTGGACCAGTAAGCACTATCATGATAAATGGAGAAAAGACTGAAGTTGCTATGGACTTCATATTACTTGGTTCTACAATCAATGCCAACAGAAGCAACAGTCAAGACATCAAAAGATATATTCCATTGGGCAAATCTGTTGCAAAAGACCTCTTTCGAGTGCTGAAGAGTAAAGATACCTCCTCGAAGACTAAGATGTGCCTATCCCAAGCCATGGTATTTTCAATCACCTCACATGCATGTGAGAGCTGGACAATGAATAAGGAAGATAGAAGAAGGTTCGATTCTTTTGAGTTGTGGGGTTGGTGAGGAATGCTGAAAGAACTGTGGACTGCTAAAAGGACTAACAGATCTGTCCTGGAAGAAGTGGAAGTGCAAGCCGGAACACTCCTTGGAAGTGAGAGTGGCCAGACTTCGTCTCATCTACTTTAGTCATGTTATCAGAAGGGACCATTCTCTGGAGAAGGATGTCATGCTTGGTGAAGTGGAGGGTCAACAAAAGCGGGGAAGGCCCTCAACAAGATGGACTGACATGGTGGCTGCAGTGATGGGTACAGTAGGGATTGTGAGCCTTGCACAGTACCAGGCAGTGTTTTGTTCTGTTGTACATAAGGTTGCTATGAGTCGGAAATGACTTAACAGCACAAACAACAACAGTGTAATTTACTACACTGCAATAGCAACAGGCTTACCAGCCCACGTTGGCGAAAGCTGGATGCCATTGGGTAGGTGGCTTTCTGGTGGAGTCGGTTGCCTTTGGCATTAATTGGCAGAAGCGGAGAGACCAAGGAAACAGGAAGCAGAGGTGCCTTAGCCTCAAATGGTAGGACCATGCCCTCTCAGGGTGGGACCACCACAGGCTTCTAGCTTTCAGAGCCAGACCTTCCCCAACTTGGTTCTGGAGTGTGCAGCTGCCGTTCATGAAGGCCAGTGGGATAGGGCCATA